GATCATTGCATGAGTTCTGAACTCTTTTTTTGTTTTGTTTTTTTGGAGATAGGGTTTCTCTGTGTAGTTTTGGTGCCTGTCTTGGATCTCACTCTGAGAGTAGGCTGGCTTCGAACTCAGAGATCTGCCTGGCTCTGCCTCCCGAGTGCTGGGATTAAAGGTATATGCCTCCACCACTTGGCTAAGTTCTGAACTCTTAATGAGGTCAAGTTTCTTTGGTATCCCAGTTTGCTCTGAGCAGGGGCTCCTGGATTCCCAAGTGCAAGATGAGCCCTTACCATTAAGAAAAGTTCCAAGGGCTTCATATGACTCAATCCCAAGTTAGATCTTGAAATTTTGAAAGTGTTCATTGTCTGGTTCTTCAGTTGGATTAGTGTTAGACAAGTATAAGTAACTTAGGGCCTTTAAAAATAATCCTTCTGAAATTAAATACATGGACTTCTTTTGTCCCCTTTGTTTTCCTTTTATTGAAAATAGATTTTTTTCACTCAATATATTCTGGTTATGATTTCACCTCCCCAGCTACTCTGAGATCTTCCCCCATTCTTTCTCTTCAAAATCCACACCCTTTCTGTCTTTCTTTAGAAATAATGCAGACATCTAAAGAATAATAATAAAGAAAATCAGAAAAACTAAAACATAGTGGACTAGGACAGAACAAACAGAAGATAAAGGGCCAAGAAAAAAGCCCAAGAAACACAAATAGACTCAGAGACACACTTTCCCATCAGTAACAACTTATTAACAACACAAAGCTGGAAGGCATAATATATATTCAAAGGACCTGTAAGGTAAAAAATAAAATGCCCTGACACTGACAGTGGTGGCACACAACTTTAATCTCAGCACTTGGGATGCAGAGGCAGGTGCATCTCTGCATTCGATGCCAGCCAGAACTACAGAGTGAGTTCCATGGCAGTGAGGGCTACACAGTGAAACTCTGTCTCAAAAAAGAAAGAAAGAAAGAAAGAAAGAAAGAAAGAAAGAAAGAAAGAAAGAAAGAAAGAAAGAAAGAAAGAAAGAAATGTATTATAAAACATTATGAGACAAAGAAAATCTGAAGATGCCACTGACTGTAGTTTGTGTTTGTTGGGTATGGGGCCAGGCCTTAAGTGTGGTTAGTATTTTGAGTGATATTCCCTTAGAAAAACAAATGTTTGCATCTGTGAGTGGTTATCAATTGGAGATAGGTTTTGGAACAGGGATGGGGGTTTGTGTTCTTTTTCCTCTAAGCATTAGGATCCAGTCTGGCTGAGACCTGTGCAGGCTCTGTCCATGCTACCACAGTCTCTGTGAGTTCATATGTGTATTGCTTCTGCTGTGTTTAGAAACCTTTGTTTCCATCCATTCTGACTCTTAAAGTCTTTTAACCTCTTATTTTGCAGGGTTCCCTAAGCCCAGAGAGGCGGGATTTGATGGAGCCATACCATTTAGGACTGATTATTCCAAGATCTCTCACTCTCCACACAAAGTTCAGGTGTGAATCTCTGTATCTCATCTCATCTAGTGTAGGAGGAATGTTCTCTGATGATCATTGAGCAAGACAGTGATCTATGAGATAACAGAATGTCATTAAGAGTCATATTATGACTATGTTTCTTCAGCAGAGCAGTATAATTTTGTTTTTCATAGGTCCCTGGCCTATATCTCAGGTTCTTGGCCCCTTCAGTACTGCCAGGAATGGGTTCCATTCATCCACTTAAGGACATCTAGGCTGTTTCTCATTTCTGACTATTGTGAATAGACTAGTGATGGACATGGTTGAGTAAGTGTTTCTATAATAGGATGAAACATCCTTTGGGTATATGTCCAAGAGTGGTATAGGTGGATCTTGAAGTAGATCTATTCCAAGCTTCCTGAAAAACAGACACACTGATTTCCATAACGGCTGTACAATTACAATTGTGCACTCCCATTAGCAATGGATGAGTGTTCCCCTTACTCCACATCCTGGCCACCATGAGCTGTCACTTGTTTTTCAGATCTTGGCTATTCTGGTGGTATAAGATGAATTGTCATAGTAGTTTTGATTTGGATTTCTATGAGAACCCTTTACAGAAACATTTGATCAAGGTATAAATGACTGAAGATAAAGGTCATGGGTGCTCCTTAGTCTCAGAGCAGTAGAGGAAATAATATATATGGTAGTGTTAAAGGAAACAATATATATATGTATATATATATGGAAACAATATATATATAGTAGTGTTTTATATCAACCTTTCAAGATATATTAAAATGTTGTAACATGTCACTCAGAATAAACTCAACATTTCCAGTTTGACATTAAAGGGTGAATGAGAGAGAACTTATAAACAAGACAGCAGGAAAGCGTTATGTCTTCTAGGGAGGACAGAAATCACAAACCAATGTCTGTGTCATGGAAGGGAGAAAAGAGACAAGGGGAGTCTCACAGCAATAGGCACTAACAAGTCCATTTGTAAGAGCAGCATAGACAGAACAAAGTCATCAGGAACAAACGACCTGGGTTCTGGGCTAAATTTTGAGCATCCAGCAAAGTTCCCCATGGTGAGAGAAGTATAATGATACCAGCTCCCAGCAGTGAGGAAACTAAAGTCCTTGCAGACCTCTAATATATGGTGCTATAAGCCCAGCCCTTAGAGCTCTGGAGATCAATATAGACCTAAACATCACATTGATGAATCAGGACTACATACTGAGGGAGATCACTTATCCTGCTGAGAAGACCAAGGCCCATCTTCCTAGGCCAGGAGTTCCTTCTAGGAGTGCTGCATTTGAGGGCATCAAGGACCTGGCCTTGAGAAAACAAAGTCCTTGTTTAGGCCACATAGGAAATTATTATATTGGCTTTTACATACTTGGGCAAGAGTGTCTTCAATGAAGTGTGACTCCCTTGCACCTGGGTCTCCCAGAGGCACATGGACATTGAGCTTTAACTCTCATTCTTGTGTCCTATGTCATTATTTGTGACTTATGAAGGAATTGTCTACGCAGGAGAGAGGCACAGTAACAGATAAGGAAAGATTATCTGAATATGCAGGATTGTTTGATCAGAGAATAAGAGTAAATTGTTAAAAATGGATTTTTATTTCCAAAAATAAGAAACCAAAAATCCTAATTAATGTGTGAATACAACTGTAAAGTGTGTCAGTGAGGGTATTATCTGACACAGTATCACTATAACACTCCAGACACAGCTATGAAATAAAGAGAAGCTTATGTTTGATCCTTGTTCATGAAGTCCCAGCTAATGTTTAGTTGATCATATATGTTTGTGGAACATGTGAGGTTGTCACATCATGAGAGAAAGAGAGAAAGAGAGAGAGACAGAGACAGGGACAGAGACAGAGACAGAGAGACATACAGACAGACAGAAACAGAGACTGACATAGACAGACAGAGACAGAGAGACAGATAGAGAGCCACATTGGGGTGATCCCTTTTGTGGATATGTTCCAATGACCTAAAGCCCTCTCTCTAAGTTCCAATATATTGAAAGCATATTAAAACCACATCACTTGGACAAATAATTTACATATTCAATTTACAACAAAAGCATAACACCATGCTAGAATTAGAATCTAGAAATATATGGCAGATTGAGAAAAGTTTATGTTGACTGGTGGAAAATATTTGTGATGAGAACAGGACCTTTTGAGGTGTGTGGGGAATGATGATCATGGAGTTGAAGTGCAGGCATGTAGAAGAGTACTGAGAAACTGTCAGATTCCATAATCAGCTTCTGAGCTCAGCAGTGCTTGAGTTAAGTAGGAGACAAAGGTGGAGTTTCCGAAGTCAATGAAATAGGAATAATCAGTACTGGGTCTCAGTCCTTCGGGGAAAGAAAGCAAAGAAAAGGAAAGCTCTTTCCTGAGCTAAGAGCTCTTCATATCCTATGTACTTCTATCACATCAACATTCCCAGTCTTTCCTCTAGCACTTCTTATTGGCCCCTACTCCCTTTAAAGGACATATGTGTCCTGAATGACAGCACTACTACTGCCATTATCGTAAGTCAGTGTGCTTCCTAACTGCACTCTACATACTTAAACTTATACCCACAAAGTAAGAGCTGCTCCCACTCTTCATAAAAGAAGCTCCTTTTATAGCAGGAGACCATTACAGCAAGACACAACTGGTCAAAATGAAAAGATTAACTGGCCATGGGTTGCCCAGCTCAAGCTGAATATATCTGTAAGGAAAACCCTGCACTTAAGGCTCAGGGGACATCACAGAAGAGGACAGAGAGGGTTGTAAGAGATGTGGAAGTCTGCTGTGAGAGCATGCCTTCTACGACAGGGAAGCTACACCCATGAAATATCAACAACATGGCTGTATAAAAAAACTGTACAATTCCATTACCGGTTGGCAAAGCATTGTAGATGGGGCCTCACTTCTTGATGAAGAGCTAAAAACCAATTAACAACTGCTGAAGGAGAGAGAGAGAGAGAGAGAGAGAGAGAGAGAGAGAGAGAGAGATAACATTCTCTAGGGATGAGTGACTGATTGGTTACCTAATACCAAGTAGTCAGTCCCAGAAGCAAATACATGCAGGCAACAGGGGACAGACTAAGCAGGTTGTGCTTATGTGTTTATCACTTATGTGTATTTGTAATAACAATGGTTAAAAAACAGGAGGCTGTGAGTTTGGGAGATAAGAGACATGGGACATTAGGAGGGAAAGAGAAAAGAGGTAATTATATTCTAATTAAATAAAAAGCTCCCTCATGTATGATACTGGGGCAATTTTAAGCAGAGCATGATTTAGCAGAATAATAGTAGTAGGTTCTCTCCTAGGGCCTAGGAGCTACCTAGCCACAGGTCCTTGGCCTGATACTGTTGCTGGATCTGTATTTTCTTTTGTGGAAAAGCTCAATCACTAAGTGGTTGTTTTACTCCTGTAATAGTGGCATGAACCACTATTGGGTTAGTGGAAATGTCTGGCTAGGCAAGTCTCTACTGTAGCTCTCAGGGTCCACAGATGGGTGAGATTGAGATCTTTTTCTCTTCTCTTGTATCATGTACAACACCTCCAAGCACTATGTATGCTACCTAGTAGGGATGAAACTTCCAGGTGAGTACCAGCTGGATCTCTCCATATTTCATTACTCAACTATACTATGTTTTAAGCAGGATGACCTTACTGTCATGTGATGGAAAGGAAATAAAGCAATTGTAATGGCCTGCAATATTTGGGGGTCTCCAAGGAATTAACCTATTCTTAGAACTTGGATATTTATTTGTTAGTCTGAGGTATCTCATAGAATCATTGCACCCTGTTATAAGGTGTTGTATTTACCACAGTGAAAATGGACCACAAGTATACAATAATTTTCACTTTAAGAGTTTTAATGATAGAGAGTGGGAGAAAGGGAGAAGGGGGTGTGCTCAGGCCTGTCTGGAAGAAACATGAGGGAAAGAGGATGTGGGATGGGCGGGTCCACTTTTAAAGGTAGCTCAGCACATAAATATAGGGGCTTACATAGCCGTGCCACACATGGGTATAGATTATGTGGTCACGCTGTGCATGCACAAACATTACATAGGACATAAGGCCTTGGGATGTCTTGTTAGTCTATGTTGTCGCATAGAAGCATTGTTACCCTGTCATAAGGCAATTCCATTTTAAATCTTTTAAAAACATGCATATGTAGAAAGCTTCTACAGTAGTAGGTTCCATATGCCTTTTATACAATGCCTTTATTGTTATTTATCACTCTCTATATTCCCTCCTGTACACTGCTTTTCTATGCCTAACCCTAATTTAGTCATCCTTGTTCTGTTAGTCCCCTTTAACGTTTTATACCACTGAGCTCTATCTCCCCTCCTTTGAAATTCTCTTTTATGGTTCTTTACTAATTTCCATATCTATATGGATTTTCCATATGAAACATACACATATGAAGATTTGAAGCTAACATTCACACATGAGAGAAAACTTGTGTATTAGTTGGTGTTTCTATTGCTGTAAATAGACACCATGACCACATTAACTCTTGTAAAGGAAAAACATTTAGTTGGGGTGACTTACAGTGTCAGAGGTTTAGTCCATCATCATAGCAGGACATGGAAACATAGGCATACATGGTGCTAGAGAGGAGCTGCGAGTTCTATATCTTGATCTGCTGGCAATGGGAAGTGAACTGAGATACTGGGCATAGCTTAAGCATAGGATTTGTCAAAAGTCTGCCCCCACAGTGAAACAATTCCTTTAACAAGGCCACACCTACTCCAACAAAGCCACACCTCCTAATACTGCCACAAATATGAGCTTATGGGTGGCTAATTACATTCAAACTATTACAACATGCAACATTTATCTATCTGGTTCTGTGTTACCTTACTCAAAATGATTGTGCTCAGAGTTCCATAAACTTACATTACTAAGTAATTAAGAATCTAAGAAATGAAATGGGAAATATACATTTTGGAAGGCTTGATGTTTTCCCAAATATTATATAGGGAAACACTGCAGATTGGATTTGTACCTGGTAGGAGCTAATGGGGAATGTGGGCTCACTCCTCTCAATGCCCCAAGGTCTATCATTTTTTAGTCTTGTTCATTCCTCTATTCTGGCTTCTTAGAAACCTGATTTTCAGGCTGGATCATCCAGATTTACATCTAAGTGTGTGTTAGCAACCCTTTACTAGGGAAAAGAAAAGAGCTATAAAATTTAACCTCTTTTCTGTACCAACTATGTGGAATATCCCTCTGGAATGTGCTTTATCCCATTCTCAAACTAATCCTTTATCCTGTGATATAGAAGGATGCATGATGCCAACTGTCTTCAACTTTTCTTTCTAGGAAATTATGATAAATTCCTTCAAATGTAATCTGTAATTTTGAGGCTTTTCAAATGTGTACAAACTACTTACACACTGAATTTGTGGTCCTGACTCCACCACTGAAGCAGTCCAGAGGATGAGCCACGAGGTGTTCTCCCAGACCTTTCTGATGTCTGGATGTCAAGAAGCCCTGAGCCCACATTTTCAATCTTTACTCTATTTAGAGACCAGGTCATCACTCAAAAACTTGATAAAACATGTTGATTTTAGGAGGACATCTGGGTTAGTCATTTTAACCTATCCTCTGCTCTATCAGGGATATAGTCTCTGACAGTTGTGAGGTAGCTGCTTAAAATTTTGTTTGTATTTTGAGGTAGGGAACTTTGGGATGCCAAGTCTCTTTGATTTCCAGAAAAATGTAAATGAAAAGCCAAGCCCTCCTGAGAATTTTCAAGTTATGATATTACATGTGTGATCTAAAACTTTCTTTAGGGAGAGAGACTTAAGGATTCCATTTAAAATATAAGGCATATTCATGCCTGAATGAGCCTCAGGTTTCAGTTAAATGCAGATCATTTTTTTGCTGATACAATGTGTGCAAGTCTATAAACCATATTCTGGGTTTCTCCTGAAGGTAATTGATTCATATAGAGCAGCTTCTTTGGTGCATCTATTGGAGCAAGTGGGTTCCTTCGATTTCACCATCTTCAGATATCCTGACTTCTACTGCACCTGGTGACAGTGGAGTTCATGTTCTTTGTGATATTTGCCACCCACAAAAGGAACCAGAACATCGGAAAGAGTAGTAACTCTTGGTGCATATGGATAGGTATGAAAATCTAGCTGTACAGAAAGCACAGGTGATTGTGCAGAGCCCTGAGGGCTAGTGATTGTAACAGTCAGAAGTGTTTTAGGGAGGGCAGAAACTTTGAGCACAGGCACCTGCCCTGGATCGATGTCTCCTCCAGCCACCAGAGGGCACTGCCAGCCACAAACTTGCTTGGTGTTGCCAGGCTCTCAGCTGATTTCTCCTTGCCCAGAAGCATTTCCTGTGCTTGAAAAAGTAAGTTCTCTCCAATTTTCTTTCTAGCTGGTACCCGAGCTAATGTTGAAGGAGGGGCTTTCACAGGCTCCAGGACAGGAGATATTTGCATAGCGATGATCCACTCTGGGTGCAGGGACAGATAAGAAGTCTCTGACTCTCATTAGGTTGTGTGTCTCCAAGAGAACCTGAATGCATCTCCAGCATGACCTGCCTTCCAGTTCTCCTCATTTTATTTGCTCATTGCTCAGGTGACTGCTTACATGTAATTTTGAGAATGTGAACAGGGAAAATGATAGTCTCTTCTTAGATTCCTAGAAACAGGTATTGTTTGGTCCTCACTAATGCTGTTTCACTCAATCCTCACAGGGTCTTGGGCTGAGGTTGTGTTCACTCAGCCCAAGTCAGTGTCTGGATCTTTGGGGCAGAAGATCACCATCTCTTGCACTCGCAGTAGTGGAAACATTGGAAGCAATTATGTATACTGGTATCAGCAGCGCTCAGCAAACTCACCCCGTCTGCTCATCTATGAGTATGATCAAAGACCTTCTGGGGTACCAGATAGGTTCTCTGGCTCCAAGGACAGCTCCTCCAACTCTGGCATCCTAACTATCTCTGGGTTGCAGCCTGAGGATGAAGCTGACTACTACTGCCTGTCTGGTTATGACAGTGTTCCACACAGAGCCCCAGATTTATGGGGAACTGAGACAAAAACTCTCTAGAGCATCACCACCATCTGTTGCCTTCAACCTTGGAAAATTGAGTTTTTCTGTCTTGTTTTGGAAATTTCTGTTAAATAGTCCCATTATTTCCTAAAATATAACTTACTCCCTGTCTGTCTGTCTGTCCATCCGTCCATCCAACCATCCATATCTATGTATCTATGTATCTATCTATGTATCTATGTATCTACATATCATTCTCTCTCTCTCTTTCTCTCTCTCTCTCTCTCTCTCTCTCTCTCTCTCTTTCTGTGTGTGTTTGTGTGTGTGTGTGTGTGTGTGTGTGTGTGTTTGTGTGTGTGTGTGTATTTGTCAGAAGATACCTTGTGGAAGTCAGTTTTCTTGCTCCACCAGGTGGGTCTCTGGTATCAAAAATCAGGTTTGGTGGCAGGGTCCTTTAAGTACTGAGCCATTCCTCTGACATAAACCTCTACTCAACATTTATGGATGATCTCCTAATCCTTTTAAGACTGTTTTATGAAAGAGATTTACTTAACCTCAGAGCTTGCCAAATTGCGATAAATCATTCCTTAAACTGGATATTCCCCTTTTTTACTTCCTTTTCTGTTTTTTGTTTTCTTAAGATTGGGTTTTGTTATACAGCTCAGGCAGCCTTGCAACTTGCTATGTGGCCCAGGCTTCTCTTGAAAGAATTCTCTTTGTGTGGTAGAAAATATTCTTCACTCTTAAACTGTAGTTGGTTTTTTTTGGGGGGGGGGGTTGTCTCAGCAGTTTTAAGAAGGAGATCTTTCAAAAACACTTAAGACAGCTTATGTTGGAGAGGATGTGGAGCAAGGGGAACACTCCTGCTCTGTTGGTGGGAATGCAAACTTGTACAGCCACTCTGGAAATCAGTATGGCAGTTTCTCAGAAAGATGGGAATAATTCTTCCTCAAGACCCAGTTATGCCACTCTTGGGCATATACCCAAGGAATGCTCAATCTTACCACAAGGACACATGCTCAAATATGTTCATATCAGCATTATTTGTAATAGCCAGAACCTGGAAACAACCTAGATGCCCCTCAACTGAAGAACGGATAAAGACAATGTGGCACATATACACAATGGAATACTACTCAGTGGTAAAAAACAATGATATCATGAAATTTGCAGGCAAATGGATGGATTTAGAAAATGTCATCTTGAGTGAGGTAACCCAGACTCAGAAGGACAAACATGGTAAGTACTCACTCATAAGTGGATACTAAATGGGAGGGAAGGGATGGCCAGACTGCAACCCACAACTCCAGAGAGGCTAGCTAACAGGAAAAGACCCTAGGAGGGACTCATGGATGACCCTGTGAAGGAGAAGTGGATGAGATCTACATGAGTGGACTGGGTTTTGTGGGTGCGTGGCAGAGGGTGAGGAGTGGGGGATGAGAACATAGGGAAATGGGAGGGTCAAGCTGGAACAGGGACAGAGTTGGAGGGCAGGGAGGAAGATACCATGATAGATGAGGACATCCTGGGAATAGGAAGAGGCAGGGTGCTCAGGATGCTCTCAGGAATCCACAAGGTTGACCCCACCTTGATCCACTGGCAGTGGTCCAGAGTGTGCCTGGACCAGTCTACTCTGGTGACCAGCCTAGCAAATAACCTAGCTATCATCATAGAGCCTTTGTCCAGTGACAGATGGAGGCAGATACAGAGATCCATGGCCAGGCACCAGGCTGAGTTCTGGGAATCCAATTGATGAGAGAGAGGAAAGATACTGCAGGCAAGGGATGTCGAGATCATGATGGGAGAATGTGTGGAGATGACAGACCACACTAGTGGAAGCCCATGAACTGTGGACTGGTGGCTGTGGAGCCCGCATGGGACTGGACTAGGCTCTCTGGACATGGAAGATGGTTGTTTGGCATCAACTGTTTAGGAGGCACCCAGGCAGGGGGATCAGGATCTGTCCCTGATCTGTGGGCAGGCTTCTGGAACCCGGTGCCTGTGGTGTGACACCTTGCACAGCCTTGGTGCAGTGGGAAGGGTCTTGGACCTGCCTAGGCTCAGTGAGCTGGGCTCTGCTGACTCCTCATGGGAGACCTCAGTTTGGGGGTTGTGGGGATATGGGGTAGCTTGGGAAAGAGGGCTGGGGGTGGGAGGAAGGAGGAGGGGGTCTGTGGATAGCATGAGGAGTGAGTAGAAAATTTCTTAATAAAGAAAAAAAAGAAGGAGATCTTTGGAGTGCCTTCCACTTGGGAGAATGCTAGGTTCTGTCTTTTCTTTTTTTTTTTTTTTTTTGGTTTTTCGAGACAGGGTTTCTCTGTGTAGCTTTGCGCCTTTCCTGGAACTCACTTGGTAGTCCAGGCTGGCCTCGAACTCACAGAGATCCGCCTGGCTCTGCCTCCCGAGTGCTGGGATTAAAGGCGTGCGCCACCACTGCCCGGCTAGGTTCTGTCTTTTATTAATTAAATTTATTGTCTGACATTTTTATACATGAATGGAATGTATTCTAATCATTCTTACCTCCTACCTTGACAGGTCACCCCCACTACAAATCCCCTCCCCTATTTTATATTTTTGTTTTGCTCTGTGACCCACTGAATTTAAACAGAGCCGTCTGTGTGACTGGGAGTTGGGACTGTCTATTGGAGCCGGGTGGGCTCACCATTGCCACATAGCTGAAGGCAAACACTCATCCTTTCCAGAATCTTTCAGTCACCAATACTTTAGCTGGTTGGGTAGTGGCAGGGGCATGTTTACAGACCCCTCCACTCTGCATACTGACTGGTGACAGGCCCAGTCTTGTGCAGGTTTAGTTCAGGTAACTACAGCTGTTGTAAGTTCAAAAGACTGCAATGGCTGTTTCCTTCCCTGAGATGGCATTGAGCAGCCCCTCTCCTTGCCTGATAATCTCTCTGCCCATATGTCACAGTTCCCTGAGCTCAGAGGAGGTAGTAGAAACATTTTATTTAAGGCTGAGAACTCAACCATCACTAATTCTCAGCAATGTGAATTAGTGAGAATTGTGAAGCAATGAGACAGTGCATTTACCTTTGTTCACTGAAAAGTAAACTTCTCATTAAGGTTGATGGTAGGATTTGACTATGAATGTCAATATAGGTATTTAGAAGGAATTTTGATGCTATGTCTATTTAAGTAGACAACAGTATTGAGTTCCCCACTAAGGTCTATGACTTATCCAAGCATACACTTTTGACCAGATTTATGGTACCATGCATGCTTTCTCCTCTGTGGAATAGGACTCAAATGTAATCAGAGAGTAGTTGATTCATCCTATAACAGTTTGTCATTGTGGTATGAGAGGGCATATGTAGCCCTGCAAGTTTGCAACTAGGTGAGACTGCTGGAGGCTTTTCTCCTCCAGTAGCCTGTGTAGTGTCTTCTGGCACTATGAAACTAGCCAGCCTGGCAAAAGCGTTCAGTTTATTTTCTCTCTATCTCCCAACCAAGTTGTGTGCTGTCTTCAGCTATAGGTTCTTTTTAACTAGTTGGGGAAGGCAACCAAGATTATCACTTCTGGCCTTATAGGGTTGAGAGAATCAAAAGCATGGCAACTCTTCTTCTATAGCAAAGGTGTCTTCATTTCTGTGATGACCTCTGTGGTTCTGACACAACTTGAATATTTCTATTTGAATTTCAACATGGTGCTTGCATGATTTTTGGCCAATGGGGGTCACATAGACCCCTAAGCTATTGCAAGCTGTTGCCAATAATCTCTATTACCTTCCAGAACTTTATGCTAACATCCCATTGCTGAAGACCTTAATTGAGTCATAGAACATGTGGAAATCAAGCAGATAAATCACTTGGACGTTTCATCACTACAGGCTAGTTTTCATGGTGATGGAAAGTGCTATCCACACTGCTAGAGGAAAAAATAAGCTTCAATATGACCTGTGAAGTTGTGCAAAGTATAGCAATGACTGTTCTGACATGATGTGTACCCAGGTGCCATTATTGTGTCATGAACATCATGGGAGTAACCAACCATTTTCTTGGTTGTTCTGAAGCTTGTTCAGATGGACCTCCATTTGGCACTGTTAAAGGGACAAAGAAACTGAAGTCAGATTGGTCACAGACCAATATAATACAAGGACATAAAACAACTCCTAATGACTTACTGCTTTCAATACTAAGGGTAAAACCTATGGGCTTGTGTGTAGACAAATACAGTTCTGCAGCTCTATTTCTATCATTTTTTAGATTAATTATTGAGGTGGTTTGAAGAGGAATGGCCTCGTAGACTCATGTGTTTGAAATGCTTGGCTCATAGGAAGTGGCACTATTAGGAGTTGTGGTCTTGTTGGAGGAAGTATGTCACTATGGAGGCAAGCTTTAAGGTGTTATATCTTCAAGCTACACCCAGTGTAGCACACAGTCACCTGCTGTTGCATGTGGATCAAGATGTAGAACTCTTAGCTCCTTCTCTAGTACCATGCCTGTCTGCATGCTGCCATGATGATAATGGACTAAACTTTTGAACTGTAAGACAGCCCCACTCAAATATTTTTTGTAAGTGTTGCCATGGTCATGGTATCTCTTCACAGAAATAAAACCCTAAGACAATTACCATACCTAAAGTAATATAAATACCAGGTAACAGTTGCTTTACTGAGTTGTCCAGTAAATAATGACAAGAAAAAATGTCTGAGAATGTTCAGTTAAACTGTAAGTGTGAGGAATCAACCTCTAAAGATCTCAGTAGTTAAAACAGTGGTTTTCAATCTTCTTTGTGGTGATATTGTGTTCCCCAAAATATTGTGCACCCTAATAAACTTATCTGGGGTCAGAGAACAGAACAGCCACTTGATAGACATAGAGACCAGAAAATGGTGACACACACGCCTTTAATCCTAGCATTCCAGAGGCAGAGATCCCTCTGGATCTCTGTGAGCTCAAAGCCACACTGGAAACAGCTAGGCATGGTAACAAAGAGCCTTTAATCCCAGGAAGTGATGGCAGGAAGCAGAAATGTATTTAAGGGTGAGGACGAGGAACTAGAGCCTGGTTAAGCTTTTAGGCTTTTGAGCAGCAGTTCA